ATGAGTCAAATAGCGCGAAAGATGAATGAAATGCTAGGATGTTCTCTCAAGAATATGTTCCCAAGTGTTCAATCTTTCAATTCCATGGCAAATCTGGTTAATATTATTAATGCGCGCCCCGCAATTTATGTTTCTTCCAATCATTGATTTTGAAAATATTTTGTTTTTATTTTTCAAAACAACAAATACATACACAAAATTGGCAGAAGTCGGGCACACTTAGAAAAAAGTTGTAATCAGCTGGGAGCTCTAACTTACCTTTTTATTGTACCATGGTTACGATAAGCATTTTCCACAATTTTAACGAATTTGAATAACTTCTCATTCAACATTTCCAATTTCAGAATTTGTTTGACAATTTATTGTCCCAACAGGTACATGCGACTACCTGTATTCTTCTACCATGATTACTACTGATCAATCAATATATGCTGGACATGTCCCAAGAATAAACGTCAAAATGCATTATTGAGATTGAATCACAAAACAGACGATAAACAATAGTCAAAAAAGTATAAACAAATGTTGACATATCATTCGGTTTTTAAAATTTGCAGGAACACCTTGTTATTGCGCCATGGTAATGAATTTACCGCATCATCTACTTTAGTTGAAATTGATTAAAAAATATATATTTAGACGCTTCGACACCGCTGCTAGGACAATGAGCTGTCACACCAATTTTGGAATCGAAATTTTTGAATATAAAATTACTAAAATTTGCAAAATCTCATGGTATAATTATTACAGGTAGATGCAAATCCCAGCTGATTTGACTATAGTAATACTAGTGCCACATCCGATATGACGTTTTGGATTTAATTCCATTTCTTGATATACAATAGGTATACCCTTTTTATATCCTCAGCCATATGGCTAGAGAGGGTATATATCATTTGATACGGTCAAAACATGACTAGTCTAAATAACGGTTTTAGACCCTAGGTCTCTTTGGAACATATCCGTTTTAGGGCATTTGGAAACGATCTGTCCGTTGTCTTTCTGGCTGCCTGGTGCACACAATAACTCTCGAAGGGTCCAATTTGGTCCAAAGTTGGAACATAATATTTTTGTCAAACTTATATCAATTTCGGAGATGGACAATATCGGTCCACTACTTCTGGTACCTCCCCCACAAAAGGTCGACATTTTCAAAAATATATATATTTTCTCCACACAAAGAGAAACAATAATCGAATTTTGCTCCAACTTTGCAAGTCCTAATAGTTGCGTCAGTTCTAGGTCAAGTGCAAAAATGGATAATATCGGTCCACTCCATCAAGTGCCTCCCCCACAAAGGGTCAAGATTTTGAATAATTATAACTTTTATAAAATATAATGTTGGAGTCCGATCAAATTACACACATCACCTGTATTCTTCTAGCATGGTAGTAACTCAAGAGTAATTCACTATTGAAACTTACTACAGGGTTTCTATGACAAACTCGTTTTTTAAGTAGAATGTTTTCAGTATTATAATCATAATGGAAATAGAGCCTGGGAATCAAATTCTCATCAAATTCTCAAGAGATGAGATTTCAAGTGTTATCACAATGTAAATCATATATTTTTTATCAAGGCCTATATAAGGTCGGCCAGGAAGCGAATTGGTAAAAATACAGTTAATTTTAATGTCATTTTTTGTTTTTTTTAGGCGAAAAAAATTGTTTCGCCTTGACATCTAATAATCACGGCAAATTTGTTAATTGCCAACAAAGAAAAACAAAACCAAAAGGAACACATCATGTATCAGAATGTCGACATTTGTGTGGGAGGTACCAGAAGGAGTACACCGAAACCTACCATCTTCACAACAGATATTGTATTTGTAAAAATATTGGAATGTTTGAATTTTAGATTAAATAAGATGATTATTGTGCATTTTATGAGAGATAAAATTATTCAAATTGCTGACCCTGTGGGGATCGTACTTGAAAGAGTAGACTGATATCGTCCTAGCACTGATATGGATACTTTTATTGGATGATCTGTTTTTGTTGTATTTGGTAGATTATTTTCTTTGAAATTTTTGACCTTTTTTGAGGTAGGTACCAGACCAATACTGCTCATCTACTAACTCGATTTAAGTTTTCTAAGCCAAATCTGTTCCAAAGAGAACTAGGGTCTCGAACCGTTGTTTCGATAAGACACGTTTTGGCCGTATCAAATGTTATACCAATGGTACAATAAGGAGGTAGAACAGCTTCGTAAAACTACAAAAATACAACTCTGATGCTATGCCCGCTTCCTGTCAGACTCATTCGAAATTGCATACAACAATTTTTTTTTTCATATTCTTCCTCATTTTTAAAATGTGTTAAATACCGCAAAGACAAATAACATGTCTGGATTTTTCTTTTAAAAATATGATCCTAACTGTTCAATCTTTCAATTTCATGGCTATACTGGTTAATAGATTTAATGCGCGACCCGCAATTCAGGTGACTTCCAATCATTGATTTTGAAAATATTTATTTTTTCATTTTTCAAAACAATAAATACATGCACAAAATCGGCAGAAGTCGGGCACACTTAGGGTAGAAATACATAAAGAGCATATTTGGCTGGCTTAAGTCATCGGCTGGCATCTTCTTCGATGATGAAAGAAGGAGTTTTAGGTTGACTTAGATCGATTTTGGCCCTAGGCTCCTTTGTTCATTTCCGAAGAAGCCAGCCGATGACTTAAGCCAGCCAGATAAGCGCTTTATGTATTACCAGCCTTAGAAAATAAATTGTAATATGCTGTTAGATGTACCTTACCTTTTTATTGTACCATGGCATGGTACATGAATATAGGTAGTTGCATCCATGGTACAATGAAGAGAAGGTAGGCCAACTTTGAAAAAATTGCAAGTATAGAGGTCTACCTGTTTGGCTTGTAATGTCAGAATTAGTATCAAAACAATAAAAAATCAAACAACTTGTTGCATTTATTTTGAATAAATAATTGAAAACCGCGATAACTGAATGAAAGGTCAAAATTTCTTTTCAAAATCATGTTCTATATTTCTCTTATGGTTTATTTCGCGACAAAAACTGTAGATTTTGTCGATGCATACGTCGCAATAAGCATTTTGAAAATACCCGAATTTGAATATTTTCTGAACAATTTTTCTATTATTGAAAAGAATACACACACATAAACAAATGAAGTTGACGTATTAAGCCAGACAATTTCTACAAAAAATCAAAACTAATTTGTCAACAAGGGACAGATTTGAGAAATGTTTGTGGAACATAAGTGTTTCTCAAGCATTGTTGAAAAATTATATTTTAATAATATTGTTCTCAAGCTCCATTGTATTTTTGGTATGTTGGGAGTAAAATCATATGGTAGTTCTTGTACCATGGTCGCATCAACGCTTGGGAACATTAATCTGTCAAAATTATTAAAATGTTTTGTCAAAAAATAAGTAGATTTTTATACCTTTTGTTATACGACGCAAATTGTAGGTTGTTATGATATACATTTTTCAACAATTTTTACAAATATCAACAATTTTTCATTCAACATTTTTAATTTCAAAGTCGGTTTGACAGTTCATTGTCCCAGTATCTGCGTCGATGCGTCTACCTGTCTTTTTCTACTATGTACCATGGTTATACCTATCAATTATTCATACAGGGTGAGATAAAAAAACTGCAATAAAGTCAAACGCCACAATTTTTAAATTTTTTTAATTTTATTGAATGAATAGCATCAAATTTTTGAATAAGTTCATATTTGTTTGAATTGATCACCGTTGACACGAATTATGGCCTTCACACGGCCAATAAAACCGTCACACGATGCCCGAAAGTTGCTCTGCGGTATTTTGGCTCATTCCCGGTGAATCGCTTGCTTAAGCTGATCTACACTTTTTTACACACTATTTTTTAGTACCAACCTTGCTTTCCAAATACTCCAGACACAATAGTCTAATGGATTGGTATCCGGAGATTTTGGTGACCATTGTGCGCTGGAAATGAAGCGAGGAACTTCATTTTGTAACCATTCTTGGGAGGCCCGTGCTGAGTGCGATGGTGCTGAGTCTTGTTGAATATGTTCGCGATAATATTCTCTTCCAGATTTCACCACATGAGCAACGTCGAAGTGTTCAGAGCATACAGAAGACTTTGCTTTAAATTCTACCTTGTAAACTTTACTCCATTCTGCCCTCGACACTTCAAAAAATGTATCCCTTCCAGGAACATTCTTCTTTCTGTATATTTGGCAAATTCTCATTTTCAAATTGACAAACTTTTCAGTTCATTTGAAATTATATAGACAAAATAAATAAACAGAATTGCTACTTTCTGGAACAGAACTATTGTCAAAAAAAAAAAAAATGCAAATGACGTCCGTTCTTGTTAAAGTGTGTCTATGGTCTTTGTGTTGCTGGTATCAAGGTAGATGTACTAGGTAATCGCATCAGCCCAGCTGACGGCACCATTAAATGTCAAAACAAATTGTTGTAATGGAGAATTCGCCCTAAATGAATGCAACAACAAATTTGTTTATGTTGTCTTCCCTAAAAGTACCTTTTTATAATATTTCAAATAATTTAAGAGCAAGTTAAGAGTGAAACCAGTAAAAAAAATTAAAAGAAAATGAAGGAAGGAGGTTAGAATGGAGTGCAGCTTTAAGAATTAAGTTAGCCTCAACATCTAAGATTCAAGAATTCGACTCTTGTTATTTGCAGTTCCGGAAAACTTTCTTGGTTTAAAAAATATCGCAATACTAGAATTAATATTTATTTACTCTTATTTGTTTTACAATAAAAACTTTTATTGCGACGTTCGTTTACGACGAGAGGCACACAAAATAAAATGTAAACAAACACCTCGTTTCTGATTGGTTGAAACAAATTTGCCGCAACCTTTAAATGTCATGGCGAATCTATGTTTTTCGCCTTAGATGCCAATTTTGACATTTGAGGGGACCACACAAGTTGCTTTGTTGTAGCAATTCGCCGATGCGGTTACCTGTTAGATCTACCTTGGCTGGTATGTTGTTTCTTTTTTAAATATCAGTAGCCAAACAACTTTAAAATGGGAAATAAATTGGAAAGAACAAGCCAAATGGATGCGCAAATCCAAAGATGTCCTAATGAAGTACAGGCCTATATAGAAGATCTGGAAGATAAATTACGACAATATAAAGGGAGCGATGATAACCCAGAAAAACAATCTATCAAGGAACTCAAAGCCCAGATTTCGGAACTGCAATCTATAATTAAAGAATACAAATCATTAGAAAATCAAAATTCTGATCTAGCAATAAAATATAGCTCTGCCATAGCTGAATTGGAAAAATGCCGAAAATCCAATGCAATTATAGATGGTAAATTTGCACAAATTGCACACCGTATGAATGACGAATTACAAATGAAATATGAGAGTGCCATGCAGGCGCTTAACGACCAGAAAAGAAAGATGAATCGCGCGTTTTTCGATTTGGGAATTGTAAGAGCCGAGTGCCAGGAGCTTCGCCAAGAAAATTACAATTTAAAGTTAAGAAATCAATCTGTCACAAGTCAACAGAAAGGCTTGAATGATGAATTGCAAACAAAGTATAAGAGTGCTATGCTAACAATAGAGGAGCGGAATGGCGAGATCAATCATATGATTTCCAATTTGGCTCAATTAAAGGCAGAGTGCCAGGAATTGCGCCAAGCAAACGAAAATTTGAAACTACAAATCGAAGCGAATAAACAAAATCCATTTGAGAATGGAAATCAAACTGCCACAAGCAAGCAAATAGCCTTTGAAGAACACTATAAGGCGCTGGATAATAAATATGTTGATATGCAGGAGAAATTATTTGAAATGCAATTGCAGAATCACGAATTAAGAACCCAGCTAGAGGAGGCCAATAAAAATTTGAACAGATCCCAACAAGTCACAGCGGAACAACAGACAGCGACTAATACCCCTGACGCTACAACAGCACCCGTCGATGTTGGTACCTCATCAGCCACACCTGAAACCATGCATTCACTTTCTTCCAGCGATACAAGAACCGGTGACAATAATGTTTTAATAAAAGGATTCGACAGCTCACTGGATAACAATGAAATAAAGTGTATGATCTTAACAATGGCCGACTTAATGGATTTGCAAATAAAAAATTCTGATATAACAAATATCAGTCGAAAAGAATCGAAATCCTCCAGGAAATCTAATCGAGCGCTTATCGTTGTGGAATTAAAACAAATTAAAATTAAAAATAACATGCTTAAAAATAAGGAAAAATTAAAGAACTTCGACTCGTTCAAGGACATTGAAATTTGGGATTATATAAGCGACGATGTCCACCAGCTGTTTCAATATGCAAAAGATTTGAAAAATCATGGCTTTCAAGCGGTTTATTTGAAAAATAATAGCGTTTATGCCATAAAGAATCGTACAACCAACAGTCGCCCAATTCTTATAAAAACCAGCAATCAAGTTGATGAACTCAAAAATGGTTCTTAGTTGGATGTTTACGTGCGTGTCACTTGAACTTTCTTTATCTAAAGTGCTTTTTCTTGCTTTATCTATAGAATATATGTATATAATGTTAATTTTATAAATACAGTATATGTTATTGTTGATTAAAAGTTTATATTTTGGCAAGAAATATTTTCACAAAAACTCAGCCGACATTCAAAATGTGTTTTTCCCCCATTTGGTTCGAGTTATTTGAAATGTGTTCATTATTAACAAATTTGAAAGTACATCTCAAAACCCTGGAATATATTTTGAGTTAGAAATGAATCAGTTATAAACTCAAGTACAGGCCCACGCTTTGGTATAGCCTCCATATAACGGTACCTCCCGATATTCGGTACTTTGATGATTTTTGCCAAATTTTTTCATGGATTTGTCTAAAAATTGGTATTTGTTGGTCATAATGGTTTCTAGCTCCGGTGGCGAAACTTTGCATGTATAGGTCCACGTTTTGGTATAGCCCCCATATAACGGTACCTCCTAATATTCGGTATTTGATGATTTTTACCACATTTTTTTCACGGATTTGTCTGAGAAAATGGTTCTTAGTTGGATGTTTACGTGCGTGTCACTTGAACTTTCTTTATCTAAAGTGCTTTTTCTTGCTTTATCTATAGAATATATGTATATAATGTTAATTTTATAAATACAGTATATGTTATTGTTGATTAAAAGTTTATATTTTGGCAAGAAATATTTTCACAAAAACTCAGCCGACATTCAAAATGTGTTTTTCCCCCATTTGGTTCGAGTTATTTGAAATGTGTTCATTATTAACAAATTTGAAAGTACATCTCAAAACCCTGGAATATATTTTGAGTTAGAAATGAATCAGTTATAAACTCAAGTACAGGCCCACGCTTTGGTATAGCCTCCATATAACGGTACCTCCCGATATTCGGTACTTTGATGATTTTTGCCAAATTTTTTCATGGATTGTCTAAAAATTGGTATTTGTTGGTCATAATGGTTTCTAGCTCCGGTGGCGAAACTTTGCATGTATAGGTCCACGTTTTGGTATAGCCCCCATATAACGGTACCTCCTAATATTCGGTATTTGATGATTTTTACCACATTTTTTTCACGGATTTGTCTGAAAATTGATATTTGTAGGTCATAATGGGTCCTAGTTCGTGCGCCGAAACATTGAATTTCGTTCGACCGATATTAAAGGGTGTATATATTAACATTTTTCGGTCGAAACATGGTTGCAATTTTATTTTTTGCATTTCTTATTGTAGGTCAGTAAAAGAGTAGCTCTACGTATTTTAACGACCCGTAGTTTAGGGTTTTAATACAATAATTTAATTTTTTTTAACTTAACTTAATGTCATTTAACATGTTGAAGTAGTTATAGCCTCTACATTTGATAGGGGGGTATATTAAATTTTTTATTCCGTTTGTAACGCCTCTAAATATTCGTCGGACACCCCATAAAGTATATATACAATTCTAAGTCGATTAACGATTGTATGTCGATACAACCCACATTATTTGCCGTAGAGCTTTGACATTTGGCACAATAGTTTGTATTGTGTCTACGATGATTGGTATCGGTCAACGTTTTCGTATATCACCCATTATTTCAAATTTGGTATTTAATTCTCGAAATAGATAACAATCTTTGTAGTAGACAATCTATATCTATAAAAGAGGAAAATGTTTGTACGTTTGTTTGTTTGTTTGTTTGTTTGTTTGTAATTTATGGACTCGAAAACTGCTGAATAGATTTTTCTGAAAATTTCCATATATACTGCAACATCGCCTGAAAGTAACATAGGCTATATACATTTTTGAATTTCCACTTTGAACTGGAGATATAGCATCAGAATCGGAGGTACCTCCCAAAAATTTAGATTTTATATGCACATATCTATTGATCGGTTAAAGATACAGTCTCCAAATTTGGAATGTGTAACGGAATTTGGAACAAAAATAAGTTTGCTAAATTATATTGTAATCGGTTCAGATTTGGATATAGCTCCCATATATATTTTCGACCGATTTCGTTCATTTGATGCCTCAAACACAATATGAATGTTCGATTCCAATGAAATTTGGAATATGTGACGGGATTTGATCCGAAGATAAATTTGTCAAATTATATTGAAATCGGTTCAGATTTGGATATAGCTCCCATATATATTTTCGGCCGATTTCAAGCATTTGATGCACCAAACACGCTATGTATCCCCAATTTCAATGCAATTTGAAACGTGTGATAGATTTTATCTAAAAAAATTTATTTGCCAAATTATATTGAAATCGGTTCAGATTTGGATATAGCTCCCATATATATTTTCGGCCGATTTCATGTATTTGGTGGACCAAATAAGATATGTATGTCCAAATTTAATGAAATTTAAAATAAGTAACGGAATCGGGAGCAAAAATGAATTTTTCAAATTATATTGAAATCGGTTCAAATTTGGATATAGCTCCCATATACATTTTCGGCCGATTTCATGTATTTGGTGGACCAAACACGACATGTATTTCCAATTGTAATGAAATTTAAAATAAGTAACGGAATCGGGAGCAAAAATGAATTTTTCAAATTATATTGAAATCGGTTCAGATTTGGATATAGCTCCCATATATATTTTCGACCGATTTCATGTATTTGATGCACCAAACACGCTATGTATCTCTAATTTCAATGAAAATTGGAATCTGTAGAGGAAATTAAAACGAATATACATTTGTCAAATTATAGTAAAATCGGTTCAGATTTGGATATAGCTCTCATATATATTTTCGACCGATTTCATGTATTTTATGCACCATGCACGATATGTATGTTCGATTCCAAAGAAATTTGGAATATGTAACGGGATTTTGATTAGAAAATAAATTAGTCAAATTATATTAAAATCGGTTCAGATTTGGATATAGCTCCCATATATATTATCCGCCGATTTCACATATTTGATGAACAAAACACGATACGTATTTCCGATTCCAATGAAATTCGGCATGAGTGGCTAAATTTGGTACAAAAATAAATTTGACAAATTATATTCAAATACGCTCAGATTTAATTATAGCTCCTATATATATACTCAGCCGATTTCACATATTTGATGCACCCAAAGCGAGAAAGATGAAATCTGGCACCAGAAAAAATTGCCAAATTTTATTGAAATCAGTTGAGGTTTGGGTATAGCTAACATATGTGTGGTTACAATAATAAATGTGACAAATTAATTGGAAATTAGTTAAGATTTGGATATAGCTCCCATATATATATTCTCGGCCGATTTCACGTATTTGACGCACCAATTTCAATGAAATATGAAAGGTGTGGCGGAATTTGGTGTAAAAGTAATTTTTTTAAAATTATATTTAAATCGTATCAGATTGGGATACGATTTTAATAAGAACCATTGACCCACAACGCCTTAGGCTAACACTAAAAAACAACACAACAATTAATTTGAAATACGCTTATTACGGCGAAGTATGTTGCTATCTCGAATTCATTAATTGCAACAGAAATGCCACTCAACTTCAAAAGATTGCAGTTTACTGCACGCTTGGTATTTGCTATGAAATAAATAAATCCGAAGGACAAGCCCTTAGTGTATATATGTCATGTTACTGTTTTTCTAATGGTTTTGTATATTTACGCATTAAAGTAGTGCAATAATTTTTTTTTTAATTATAAAATTTGTTTTTTTTTAACCAACACATATTCGTAAATAAAATTTTGAATGCATATAAAATCAAAAGGGGTAGCGAAGCGCACCGGGTTCAGCTAGTTGTCTATATAGGTTCACGTTTTGGAAGTGCGGCCCTTAAACGGTTCCACCCACTTTATGCTATTTTGAAAACTTTAACTGCATTCACCAATTCAAGTATTGAATTCAGTTACTTTTAGTTATAAATGTTTTCTTCATTGAAATTTCGACCCGACCGAAATTAACGAACTTTAAATCATGAACATGAAATGGAATAAATTTAAACTTAATATTAAGAACATACTGGAATATTTACACAATTCTTTAAAGATATAAATTATTGAGAATAAATTTACATCAAATGGTCTACTTACTTGAAACAATAAATTTCATTTATATAATGCATTTCAATTACTTTTTCTAAAATAAACATTTTTTTTGTCATTTTCAGGTAACCAGCATTAGTAAAAAACAATCTGAAGTACCATGTTTGGGTCTAGCCTGGTCGCATTTGGGTCGTACACGTTTGCGCATATCTAAAGTGCCTAAACAGATCAAGTATGACGACAAGCTTCTTACCGTGCGTAAACTCGAGATTATCTACTCACCTGAAACACCAATAGCCTATGCTGAATTTCTCATAACTGGCGAGGGCATTGTTAATGTTCCCTAGGAATGGTTGAAATTGCAACTGAAAAATAAAATGCTCTGGAGATTTCCATAAGTTTTTGTTTCTTCTTGCATAGAATATAGATTTTTTTATTTAATATAAGTATGTATCATGTTTATGATGACTGTTAAGTTTTTTTTCGGTTTTTATTTTTTGTTCACTTATGTTTTTTTTCTTTGTAAAGCTAAATATATACTTCTTTTGTACATTCAAAAAATATTAATTGTATTTCCATTGTTATTACAAATATTCGTAAGTATTTTTAGATTAAATCTTTTAATTGGAGAAAATTTAAGAACGAAAAATGCTAATATCTATGTACATATAAAAATTATTTTGTAAAAATCAATAATCTCCCTTTTCCCTAGACTCGTATTGTGAAAAAAGATTCTTATTGAAAACTAATTCATAGGTATTACAAATCCCTCATAACCTCATATTTCCCTCCAGAGAAAAACCCACGGTACAATTAAATCAAGTTAATCACATTTCAAATAATAATGTCCAGCTCTGCATTTTTTCTGTAATTTACCTTGTTAAATTTAACGAAATTTGAAAAATCTTTAATTGGTGTAAAAATGTATAATTTTGAAAAAATTCCAAACATATAGGGTGAGATGAAAAAAATGCAACCAACTTCAAACTGATGTCATTTCTAAGCCACTCGTCCGACAGCTGTTAACATTATTCCAGTGACAGCTCATAATTTGTACATTTGTTTTTTAAATGTTATTGAATGAACGCAGAAAATGTCGGAAATAGCATCAAATTTTAGAATAAGTTTAGATTTGTTCGAATTGGTCACCTTTGGCACGAATTATGGCCTTCAAACGGCCAATGAAACCGTCACACGCTGCCCAAATGGTGCTCTGCGGCATTTAGGCCCATCCCGGCGAAGCGCTTGCTTGAGGTGTTCGACACTTTGGTATTTTTTAGTGCCAACCTTGCTTTCCAAAATACTCCAGACACAATAGTTCAACGGATTGGTATCCGGAGATTTTGGTGGCCATTGTGCGCTGGATATGAAGCGAGGAACCTCATAAAGCGATAAAGCTGAGTCCTGTTGAAATGACCAAGATCTGCGGCCAAAATGTTTGCGTGCCCAAGACTTTAATACACCCTCCACAATATCTTTGCGATAATATTCGGCATTTATTCTTATGTCACGGTCAATTATACGAGCGGAGAGCGACCATCGGCGTTGCCCGAGGTCATGGAAGTGGACGGAAGAAAACAGCAACATCAGCAGAAATGGTTCGAAAAGTAAAGAAGCGATTTGATCGAAACCCGCGTCGCAGTGGCCGAAAAAGGGCTCGGGAACAGAACATATCGCAATACCTTTAGGCAAGTATTGAAAAATGAGCTCGGGGTAAAGTCATTGAAATTCCAAAAAGTGCAAGAACTTACACCGCAACAGGAAGAAAATAGACTCAAAGGAGCTAAAAAGTTGCTTCGCTTGGCCGAAAGTGGAGAACTGCCGAATTTGGTTTTCTCCGATGAGAAAACATTCGTTATCCAGCAGTTTGTAAACAAACAAAATGATCGTGTTTGCTTGCCAAAGAAGTCAGCTGAATATGTGCACCTTCGGTTGGCCACCGGGAACTCAAGCGCTGGCTATGGTGATGGTGTGGGCCGCCATAAAAGCCGATGGTCGCTCTCCGCTCGTATTAATCGATTAGAAAAAATGCCGAATATTGTCGCGAAAGTATTCTGGAGGGTGTATAAAAGACTTGGGCGCGCAAACATTTTGGCCGGAGACCTTGGACATTCCAACAAGACTCGACACCATCGCACTTAGCACGCTCCACCCAAGAATGATTACAAAATGAGGTTGCTTCCTTCATTTCCAGCTCACAATGGCCACCAAAACCTGCGGATATCAATCCGTTGAACTATTGTGTCTGGAGTAATTTGGAAAGCAAGGTTGGCACTAAAAAATACCAAAAAGTCGATCACCTCAAGCAAGCGCTTCGCCGCAAATGGGCCAAAATACCGCAGACCAAAATTCGGGCAGCGTGTGACGGTCTCATTGGCCGTTTGAAGGCCATAATTTGTGCCAAGAAGTTGACCAATTCGAACAGATTTAAACTTATTCTAAAATTTGATGCTACTTCCGACATCTTTTGCTTTCATTCAATAACATTTAAAAAATAAATGTACAAATAATGGCGTTTGACTTTGTTGTAGTTTTTTTTATCTCACTCGTATATATATACGTTACCTTCTTAATTCTACAATCCCTATCCATTTATTCATGATCGAAAGAAATTACTTCGAGAAAACCTATTTCCAGGGAATTTATTCCTCATGGATATTCGTGATCGGTAAGTCTTTAATGAAAAATAAGCGCTTTGCATTCTCAATAACAATTAGCCTAAATTTGTTCTGCATTGGCCACATTTTGGTGGGGTGTCGATACGAAAGTAAATATGAAAGAAAAAAATCTTTCTTTCCCATTCACTTATGTATAGTTATATAGAAACAATGATAGCAGTTGGAATAGGTATATTACGGTATGTATGTATCCATGTCCCAATTGTATGGATTCAGACTGCGTCTCCAATCTGTGTCCCTCATTCGAAAACGAACAGAGGGTAAAGTTCAAAACCTTTAAAAGTTTTTTTAGCTACCTTGACTTTATGACATACCCGCGAATGCATTAGAGTCTATGCCATCGAGAAAATAACATTTATATACCGTTCCTTGCACAGTCTTTGGGTAGACTAGAGTTTAAAGAATTAAAGATGAAACTTTGAAATTTTCCGCAGGTTTTGATATTATTTCTGGGAATATTTGTTAGTCCCTATTAGGGATAGATTCATAGCCATACTGACTTTCAATATTTTGTTTTTTGGCCCAATTTCCAACCAACATAGCTGTAATTCAACTATTCGGTTTCTAAGTGGGTAGATTATGTTCTCGAAAAAGGTATTCTATAAAATCTAAAATTTGGCGCCTCTCGATTTTCGGTATTTCTAATGTTTCAGTCACAATTTCAAAACGGATGAGCTTTAATTTGACATTTCGTGTTTTCAGTTGCTAGATTACCTCTATGAAGTATTTTGAAATTATCCGATGTATTTTTAAGATTTCATACACAATTCTCAATTGTTTTAATGATTTCATCAACAATTCTTAACAGAATTGTCTGTAACACGTCTATTTGAGTTCTCATTTATGGAGACTCGATCTACGAGTATTTTTCATTATCGGATCATTTTCAAGTCCCATGCATCGGTTTTAAATGTGCTGACCACAGCCTTCAGCTAAAGTGGAAGAAACACACCCCGCACAGAATAGTTTAGTGAAGGAGTTCGTAACTGGAAAAAATATTCTGGAAATTCCATGGACTTTGAGGACACCCGATTTGGCCACACGATCGAAATGAAGGGCGTTTTTACTTTTTTTAAGGAAACTTATAAAGCTTTTATTATTTTTTGGCCCAGGGAGAAAAATATCCACTCTTTATTTTTATACCCTCCACCAATAGTATGGAGGGTATATTAAGTTTGTCATTCCGTTTGTAACACCTTGAAATACACATTTTAGACCCCACAAAGTATATATATTCTTGATTAGCATTTAGCGATGTCCGTCCGTATGTGGAAATCACTCTAGCTTCCGAACGAAATGAAGTAGGTTGATAAAATTTTACTCAAATGTATATTATGTCTGCAGGTATTGAAAATAGGTTATGTAGGTCCACGTTTCGGTATAGCCCATATATAATGGTACCTCCCGATATTCGGTATTTTGATGGTTTTAGAGACATTATTCACCGGAATTGTTTCAAATATGGTATTTGAAGTTCGTAATGGATACTACAGCTTAAGACAGACAATTGTCTGTGCAGGTCCACGTTTTCGTATAGCCCCCATATAATGGTACCTCCCGATATTCGGTATTTTGATGATTTTAGCGATATTATTAACCGGAATGGTTTCAAATTTGGTATTTGAAGTTCATAATGGATTCTACAGCCTATGACAGAAAATTCTCTGGGCAGGTCCACGTCTTCGTATAAACCCCATGTAAAAGTACCTCCCAATATCCGGTATTTTGATGATTTTAGTGAAGTTTATAATGGATACTACAGCCTATGACAGAAAATTGTATGTGCAGGTCCACCGCTTCGTATAACCCCTATATAACGGATCCTTCCGATATTCGGTATTTTGATGAATTTAGCTACATAATTCACTGGAATTGTTTCAACGTTGGTATTTGAAGTTCGTAATGGATATTACAGCCTAAGACAGAAAATTGTCTGTGCAGGTCCATGTCTTTGTATAACCCCCATATAACGGTACCTCCCGATATTCGGTATTTTGATGATTTTAGCTACATTATTGACCAATTTTTTTAAGTTTCGTATTTGAGTATTGTAATGGCTAAAGTTACCTCTGCGGGTCCATGTCGTCCTATATACCCTAATATAACAGCTACATTCGGTATGTTTAAGATTTTAACAGAATTTTTAACTGATTTTATTGTTTTTGAAAATTGCCAAATTCGATCCAAATGGTGGAGGCTATTCAAAGATTGGCCCGGCCGAACCTACAGCTTTTTTATTTTTTAATATGACAATACGTTTTTACTTGATTAAAAATCAGCTAGAAAACATTTGG